GGCTTGAGTGTCTATTGGAAAACCAAGTTTGTTGAGGTCTTTTTGTTTGCAACAGGTGGTACCAAACAAGTAAAGCCAGTTCAGGAACTGACAAATACCAAAGATTATGAAATGGCACAATGACTGACAATATGTTTGGGCATCATATATTGTTGAGAGTTTATAAGAGACTGAACGCAGAAGAGGGTGAACAAAAGCTGAACAAAATCAAGAACTATATTTATATAAATATTTGTAAACGCAAACGACTAAACTGATTGAGAAATACGCTAACCATACTGATGATATTACGTCGTCAACATACAACATATCTTTTTTGAGTGAGACCTGTAAACACGTATCAAGTGAGACTAACTGGAAAGCAGAAACAACATGAATATGACGTAGGCAAAATCTTGATATGCAGGGAGTATACCAAATCAAAATCATGTGTCTTCAATGTAAATGTCGCAAAAATGGTAATGACAGTTTTACATTGAAGAACCGAAAACACCGATATATGTTTCAATAATTAGCGATTGACAACGCAAGAAACAAACTTCATACTTGCTTGGTGTTCAACTGGCCATTCTGGTTAAGGCTCATATTGCAGTATTTAATTACAACCATGTTCTTCTATAAAAATATCCTGAATGGGTTTAGACAGCCTTTGCAAAATATGGTCAAATTCTTTAGGTATAGCAATGATGCAAATGATTATTTAGTCCAAGATGCATTATAATCATTTTTGAGGGAACAATTGACAACTACAAAGATAATAATAAACAACCAATAAAAGTGCAAAAAACATGATATGTAATTGTTCAGTGGTTCTGGGATATTATCAAAAGTTCGTGTAATTATTGTGGATGTGGATTTCATATTGATATGAAAGGTTTTGTTATGAAACATTCAACTTGCCAAAGAGTTTCTTCTCTTGAGTCTCACTCACTGGAAAATAGAGTGCCTTATTGTTGTAGATGTTGGAAGACTTGTTTCAAGACATATGATATAGACAGTATGGTAGTTAGGATTAGTACAGGTAGTATGTTGTAGTCAGTCCCGGCTTCAAACAATGCTGTTTTGGTAGCGCTATTGAAGGTCGGCGTTACGGTCTTGAAATTGAAATGCTGCATATGATGTATTTATGCAGTAAACTACCTCTCAAACAAAACAAACAAAGAACAAACAGAAAACAGAAAAAAACATTTTTTCCAGACTAGTCTAAACCTTTGTAGGATGAACATGGGGTCCAAATCATTTTATTTTGTTGGTTTGTTTGTCTCTTTTGGTTTCCTGGTTCTAGGATTGGGCATCATGTGCAAATTGTTTTTTTGTTTCCCGTTTCTAGGATTGGGCATGGTGTGATATGGATATACCAAGTGCGTATCCTATATGTCCAACATATCCGGTTTAACATGAACTATGTCCTATTGGTGCAATTACAATTTGCATTCTATGTGTCTATGTATGTCCTATACGCGGCGTCAAGCCTAAATACATATATAATACATATATATATATATATATTTGACGCCGTGCCAAGCCCCTACATCTCTCCAAGTGTTCTTTCACGAATAGCCGCACCTCCGGCTTTCTTTTCAAACCCAAGTGCAGAACTCTCTACAATCCACATTGCTATAGTTTTATGTTGTTTTTGCGATATTGGCAACGCATGTGTATATATAATTTTTGTAGAATGTAGCTATGTAGCTAAATATGTTTAGACATTGCAGTTGAATGAAAAACACCTAGAAAATGGTGTGATACATATATATATATATATTCATATGTATATATGTGACATTATGATGATGACAATTGTCCTTGTGAACAACGCTGAAAAAAATATATATTATCTTTGTTGATTTGGTTGATTGTTTTGATCAAAAGCACAGATAAAATTTATACATAGTCATAGTCCTACTCACTTATTTGCCGTAACTTCTCATTAGTCGTTTAAAGATATCCTATGTCTTGATTGAACGGTAGAGTTTATTCGCTTGGTTATTGCGGGCGGGTCGCATTAAACCAATTATTCCCTGCCACGGGGGGAGCGGGCGGTCCAAAATGCACCTCTATAAGGGCCTTGGTGATGTCGAAGAGGTTCAAGAGCGCGTTCTTGCATGGTCAAGTGGCCGTGATACCGTTCAAGTGGACAGCAGGATGCCCAGTTGTGTGCAGTGTATGGTTCCTGGCCAGGAGACATGCAGGCAGACAGCTGCAAGGACAGCAACCTGCAAGGAGGTGCTGTAAAGACCTCAACAAGGAGGCAAAGTGTGTGAGTGTGTGTGTGTGTTTGCCCCTTGTAGTCACAGGGATTCTTTTGAATTGTTTTCTTTTGCAATGAGCAGGAGCCGATTTGCCTATCCAGTCCAACGAAGCTATGGCATTTCGGTGGATGAGTGGTCTGATCAACCACTTGTACCTGCACAATTTTTAGCCTTTGGTAAAGGGCTAATGCAGCTGCAGTCACGCACGGAACGCCGTCACTCTGTCGGATCGACTTCGCCTTGACCTTTGGGCCACATGTCCTTTTGAAGACCTCCAGGATCTTTAGGACTTTCCTGGTTCTTTCAGGATTTGGGTGTCTTAGCCTGGCGTGTGGCACCGCTGTCAAGTCAGTACGCATATCTATAAGTGTGTGTGGTATCAGCAAAGGACCGTTTTCTGTACTGCTCAGCTGTATAGACAAGCAGGCATGCTGCGTTCTAGCAGCAGTGAACGTGTAGAACGCCATCCAACCGGTCCAAGGGTGGCCATGTGTGGTGGCGTTTCGTGCAAGTTTTGGGGAGGAAAAGGGATCCAGCAAAGGAGCGCTATCTTCTGGGATCTAGCCGCATCTCCCCAAGCAGCTGCAAAGAAATTATGTTGAAAGACGGTGTTTGATCTCCTGTAAATACAATCTACCTTTGCAAAGAAACTTCCTGTTTGGATGGTCCAAGTGAATTGTGACTTTTGGACATGTGGCCCCTTTTCAGAAGTCGGAGGAAGTCTCCAGCGAAAGCTGTGCGTTACTGCCTTGGCAGGGCTGCGCGATGTGAATCTTGATGTGCAGATTTCGCGGCAGGCGCAGTATTTTGTGGACCTTGAAGTGCAGACTTCGTGGCACGCGCAGCACTTTTTGAACCTTGAGGTGCAGAATTCCTGGCAGGTGCTACACCTCTAGACCTTAGAGCTTTAGACGCGCTATGATACTCTGCTTGGGGTCTCTTGCCGAGATAATTTCCAAAGACCTCAGCGGTTGTTCTGTCGAAGCAAGTCGCCACCCGCGACCGAGCCTCGTGGCCTCCGAGGGGTGTATTGAAGGGCGTGTGTGTAAAATGATTTGGCTTGTGCGCAAGCACAAACTGATAGTGCAGCCCGCAGCAACCGCAGTAATGCAGCTTGAACTTCATACTATGACAGCAATTTCCAGTTGCTGATGTACACCTATTGAGTGTCTATGAAAGGTGGTTTTCGTCCCCTCCCTTCTCAGGTTTGTTCTAGCTGCCGCATTTAAGCCTCTTCACTCTCCCAAACATCGCTGCCAGTGTGCGTGTTACACGTTGCTGCCTGGCCGCTTGTGGCTATCTCTGGGGGTTCTCCTTGATCCCCTAGCCACCACCTTCACGGAGGGTGCGACGCTGATCGCACAGTAGTTATCTATTGGGCACCCTTCACTGCCACCACCCTCTTGGCGGAGGCAGCGGGGGGGGTCGATTGCGACGATGGGGACGAGCAGCAGAGGATGAGCTACCTCCACCAACAGGGGGGGCAATGCGCCGGGCCTTGTTGCCGGTGTCCTGGATCTGATTGTGGGTGGCCTTTTTTTCTGCGTTCTCCTGGGCCTATCCAGATGTATGTTTCAAGGGAAAGGGCATCAGATGATGACATGGTCGTTGTGGAAGCAGGATGGTATCATTGGGTCAAGAGCTCGGTCCAATCAAGAATGGCAAGAGTCCAGGTTCGGCGTGGTTCGGCCTTGCTCTCCAGCAGTCTTCGCCTATTTCTGTTCTGAGTCGAGCAATGGTGGCTCTTGGTGACCCATGTTGTTCTGCGCGACAGCAGCTTCGAAGCCTATAGCAAAAAAGAGTTGGCATGGCCACGGCCAGAGGCCTGGAAAGCGCCCGTCACCAGGCCATTGGCCCACGTTGTTCTTTGTCGCTTGAGCGTTCTTTGTCTATTAGTGCTGTGGGGTATTTTACACTCTTCAGGTTCTGTTTTGGCCGACAGCTGTGTCAAGGGCTGCACTGTTTGCGCGCATACTTTTCTACGTATAATGTTCTATGCGCAACGTCAGGCTCTCAACCGACCATTGTTTCAGCATGCTACGCGCGCAATAGTCGTGCTGGATACTGCTTGGCCTTGAGCGAGTGAAGCCTACGGGCTTTGCCGCTTGCGCGCATACTTTTGTGCGCATACACTTATACGCGCAAGGTCATACGGCCTTATCGTTCTGCAGATCGTTGCTTCAAGCATGTTACAAAGTCAACAGTGGCGCTGGATACTGCTTGGGCTTGGGCCAATGACACTTACGGGCTTTGCTGTTTGCGCGCATACTTTTGTGCGCGTGAACTTATATCAACTCTTCGAGAAGGCGATGGAGAAAGAAAGATCATACGTTGCTTGTCCCCCAAATAGGGATAGCGATGGGGTTCTTGCTGCAAATAAGAATGAGCTGGCTGCGCTTTCGAAAGGGTGTCGGTGCTGGTGCTGATGTTGTGGTCCTGGGTGCTGGTGCTCTGAGCTGTCTGCGCGCGCGTTTAAGACGGGGAGGTGCCGTATAAGCTGGCTGTGCAGGCTGTGTACATTCTTGTTCCAGCCAGTCGCATGTTAACAGGTCGTGGGATTTTGCCTAGCTATTTGGGTCTATGCTGGGGGAATTTCTTCCCAAGAGATCGCATCTCAAGCAAAGATTCGCCTGGACTACCCATGTTGCGCCTCCTCCGCAAAATCTACCAGCTCACATTTTTTGCACAGAATCAAAGCCAAGATGCTTCATCATGTTCCCGAGTGCAATCAACAGCTTGTCAACCGAGGCGGAAAAAAACGGAAAGACCTGGAGGCTTGGTCGTTTGTTTGTGAGATTGTTTTTCTCTGGGAGGAATCTAATAATAGACAGCTTGGTTCGCCTGTCTCCGCAAGTTTGGAACACAGCCATTTGGAAGATTCTGCAGAACTATGCAGCACTATGCAGCTACATGTTGTGTGCCTCAGCGATCTCATTGACCAGGCGGCGGCGGCAACGTTGCGGCAGCAAGAGATGGCTGCCTTGGAGGCCACTTCTGGTGTTTCCCTTTCAGTTCTTTGGCCACTTGAGGCCACTGGTCTCCCTGCGTTCGTTTCTTGTGTTGCTTAGTCCAAATCGCCTCTTTGGTGAACAAATACGGATCTTTTCCGAGCGCTTGGTGTCGATGTAGAGTCTGTGAGGAAGGTTGGTTTGCCTGCAAGAATTGCGCGGCTAAGCCACAAACAAATCCTAAGTACGTGCTGTGCTTTGCTAACATCCAATGCACGATCTGTTTCAGGTAATTCTGACTACTCAGTATGGATTCATTTCTACACATCTTTCAGGCACAGATCTTGAAGTGGCAAAAGAGCGGCAAAGCACCGTTGCCCATGGTGCGTCTATGCTTTGTGGGACGTGGACATGCCGGTAAGACCACGACCTTGAGGCGAGGGCGTTGTTTTTTTGTTTTCCCTTTGGCCATCGGCGAGGTTTCTCACATCGTGGTCAATGTTTACAAACATGTTTGTTCGAAGAGCAATGCCGTATGTTTCAAGGACCAAACTTACAGGCAAATGAAATGTTCGGCAGGCGGCACCGTGTGCGTGTTTTGAAGTATGGTTTAATTTTGGTGGCGCATTGCAGGCGCTTAAAAGGAGAAGATGTGAAAGAGGGCGAAGAATTCTCTACCTATGGTATTGAAGTTTGGGCTTGCGAGAGATCAGAAGGACTTGATGCCCGTGATGATGCTTGGAAGCAATGCAAAGGAAACCTTCTGGATGATTGCGTAGCGAGGAGCTTCCAGGGCAGACGCACCGATATTAGCAACGAGGGAACAACTGGAGATGAAGCTCGAAGTCGGTCAAAGGAGGAAGCGCCTGACCCAAGACATGAAATATCTCAAAGTGGCAAGCCGGAGGAGGGGCCTCAGGGTGGCAAGAAGGAAGACCTTAAGGAACATGTCAATAGAGTGAGTGGAGGCGAGGCCCGAACTGCATCTGAGGGCCTTCAGAATGAAGGTCAAGAAGATAGGGGTCCTATACTGGCACGGCAAATGGGTGTTGAGCTGGTGCTCAACGCATCAGATGCCAACATTGCACCACGTCTACAATGCTTCGATTTTCCGGGGCAGCGAGAATACGCACTCATCAACATGATGTACTTCCACGGTCGTGGAATCTACTTGGTATTTTGTGATATGAGTGTGGAGCTGGAAGAAGCCTGGAAGGACTTGAAACTATGGCTTTGGGCCGTGAACCGCTATGCAAATGCTGTGAATGGCTTGGGTGGTCAGAACGCCAAGTCGCCACCCATCATCGTCATTGGCACAAAATTTTTGAAGCGAAAGTTCGATCAAAAGGATTTGCGAAAGCGCGTTGACGACTTCATCACGAGACAGATGCCAGGTTTGCGTCAGCGGCTTCAAGGTTTTATTTGCTTAGACAACTTCTCAAGAGATATCAAGCAACAAATGCATGACCTGAGGAGTCAACTTCATGAGTTGACGATGCAAGTGCTCACGACAGAGGAGTCCTGGAAGGAGAAAAGTGGTAGGTCTGATGTGCCACCGCACATTGGACTTCAAGCCGAAGCCTATCCACTTGCGTGGATCCAAGCGCATGAGCTTCTGAGCGATCTGGATGGTGGTGTCACAATGAAGGTGAGCCCAAAGCAGTTGCGAGAGATTTTGGAAGTCAAGGGTGACATACCTAAACTCCAAGAGGAACTTGCTGGCACGCATGTGCCGATGGGGCACCATGTCATTGCTCCAGCAGGCTCAGCGGTGCGACGCGTAGTTGAAGGAAGAGAAGAGGGGACTGGCCTCCAACAAGAGAGGAGTGAGCAATGGAGCATCGAAAAGCTTCGAAATCACCTGTCACAACACGAAGAGTCGGTCTCGATCGAGGTGTCATGTGACTTCTTGACATTGGATCAGGTCAAAGCATTGCTGGCCAAGATGAGACCAAAACCTCTCTCAGGGGATGATGTGACAGGAGTGCTACAACTCATGCACGATCTGGGTGTAGTTTTTTGGTTGGATGAAGATGATTTACGAGAGACCGTGGCCTTGAATGTGCGCAAACTTTCACTTGCCCTGTCAGCATTGATCGGTTTGCGCTATTGGGATGAATGCAAGTTTGAACACAGCGAAGCCTTTCTTAGCAAGTTACAGGGAAGCACACAGGGTGTTTCAGACGATGTTCTTCGGTTTCAGACAAGTGGTATTGCAAGCACGAGGCTCTTGGAGTGTGCGTGGGAAGGCTTTACTGAGCTTCAACAGAAATTGATGCTGGAGGTCATGCTACGAAAAGGACTCCTAGTTCGGCGAGCAGTTCTTGGGGAGTACGCGGTGCCGTCTTGTCTTCCTCTCACATTTTTAGCAGAACCACCTTGCGGGGCATCAAGCGCTGTTGTTTACGTGAACCTGGAGGGTTTTGTTTCTGCAGTTCTTTTCCCAAAGATCGTGGAGTACCTTTGTGAAAAGAAATATGTTCAATTGACCTCCCCACCCCAAGCGTTCAGAAACTACATCGAGCTGCGCTCTGATGATGTGTTCATCATCATGTCACTTGCTTCAGTGGCAAAGCAACGATTGCTACGCATCCAAGCAATTGCAGAAGATTCAAAAGCTGAAGAGGCCAGCCAAACGGCCAAGAGCCTAGCTGATGCCTTCTCAGAAGCACTTGGGCTTAAGGCACTGCCCTGCACAAATCCATCTGACTCCCACAAGATAGTTCATTTGCAGGAGATGCTTGGTCTCAATTTGTCAGAACATGAACATGAACTTCCTGCCCACGTGCTCCTCCAGCACAACCCGTGCCTGAACTTGAAGTGTTTCAGGAGCTGCGATGATTGCGCTCGTTCAGAGATGCTTTCGCTACTTCTCAATGAACGCTTTCTTCCAAACCTTGGCCTGGAATTGCGACAGATCATCTCCAGCTCCTCCTTGCAGAAGTTCTCCCGGCCATTCGGAAGCTTTCGGTTTGACAATGTGTGGTTTCCAGGTGACGTCGATATCGAGGAATATGTGGTCGTCAAGGTTGAAGGACCAACGCTGGATGCGGAAGAGCGCAAGGTGGAAGCCCTAAAGAAATTGAGTGAGGAGATTCAACGCATGTGCAAAAACATCCAGGGTCTTTCGGATTCAGAATTGGTCCAATGCTATTGGTCCGGTCTCAAGGCTGGAGTCGATATCAGTGGTCGCACTTTGACATGGACAGCGGATGAAGTCGTGAAGGGAACAAAGGACGGAGTTCCGTTGCACGAAGCTTTGAGGCAGGGCCATCGGTCCTGGACTGCAAAAGTTGACTTGTTCGCCAAAGTGAATCTCTTTGCAGATGTGGAAGGGCAAGTACCCCACTTTCGTGAAGTCACGAATGTCATCCGCTTTGGATATCGCCAGGAAGGCTCTCAGGAAGGCTCTCACATCATCCACCCGGTGACGCAGGAAAAGGATTTTCTCAAGGCGGTTCAGGACAACATTCGGGACTACTCTTCGGCGCATCCGAAGGCCATGAAGTACGTCCGGTCCTTGAGATTCTGTTCCATAGTGTCGTTTCGTTGTGTTTCTTTTTCGGTGTTTGTGTATAGTAGCAAGGCAAGAGTGACAGCCATGAAAGGCCATGAAGCAAGTGATTGAGGTGAAACGCCTCTGGGAGCGAAGTGCCTTTATGGCGCAAAGGGGGTTTCACTGCAAGGAGCACTTCCAGATGTTGGAAGCTTTGAAACCGATCTTTCGACATTGGGCGGCGCAACTGGCTCAAATCTCTGCACATGCCGAGACATTATTGAACATGTTGGAATCAACGAGGGTCTCAAAGAATGTACAGCAGCAACGAGACGCCATCGAGGACCTGAACGTGCTTGGTCCCATCCTTAGTGAATCGAGTTTGGTTTCCACACAGTTCTCCTTCAGAGAAATGTTTGGAGCTGAATTTGTGCTGAGGCAGCGATGTGGAAGTGCTTTACGAGAAGTGCCAAAGTCTTACTGACGACCCAGCGGCTGAAGAGGGAGTCAAGTGCTTGCAAGAGGTATTGGACCTTTTGGATCCCTTCCAACCCTATGCAGATGCCGATGTGGAGAAAGTGATGGATGTCCTCAAGCAGGTCGAGGAGCTCATGAGCTGTTGTGTTGAGCTGGTGATCATTAACTGGCTTGGGGACCGCAGCAAATTCACCAGTCCCGTCTCCAAAGCGCTCCAGGACGGGTGGGTCTTTCCGTCCGATCACCTTCCGATTGGTTGCAGCATCATGACCGAAGTCGGTGGGTCGAAGGCTACATTCAACGTCGCGTCGTGGAACGTACTGAACCAACGGTACATGAAAGACGTGCTCAACGACGCACAGGGCTTGAAGTGTTCCAGCTTGGCTACACAGAGTGTAGGGGACAGGAAGAAGGTTATTTGTACGAAAGTGGTGGAGATGCTCGAGCACTCGGATTTCCACAAGCACATTTTGTGCCTTCAAGGGTGCTGGCCTGCTCTATTGGATCTGCTGGATAAACATATCTCTTCAAAAGGTTTTCTCCTGCTGCGCTGGTGCAAGGAGTCCCCGAACCAGGAGGCCGTGGTAGGACGTGTTTCTCAGACCTCCAGTTATGTGTACCCGTAATATTCATGTGGCATCATGTGGCTGCAAGACTGAACCATGTTTTGCTTGTGGCAAGACTTGCCTTGGCAGGCGATGATTGTCGATACAAAGATGTTTGACGTCCAGATGCCGAAGGACCTTCAAACACATCATGTGTTCAAATCAGACCAGGGGAAGGCGCAATCAGATGGGATCGTTCTTCGTATTTGTGTTTGATCCTATCTCTCGAAGCAGTAAGACAGCAATAGGAGGCACGTGTGCCGCTCTCAACTTCACCGAAGTACCGGGCTTTGCAGGGCTTTGCAGGGCTTTGCCACATCCTTGCGTCCGATCGTAGGCTGTCACAGAGGTTCTGCTGTCGCTGAAGAATGGCAATCGGAAGTTTCGGATTGTCACCACGCCGGGATTCCAAGAAGGAATGACCCGATGAGAGCCCGGGAGAGCCCAGGTGGGTCACCCTGGAAGGCCTCAGTTGTTCTCTTTGAAGGTATGCGAACCTGCTGCTTTTTGGACGGGCAGTACCAGTAAATCTAGGAATGTTGAATGGCAAACCCTGATCATTTACTGATATGCTGCCCCGAAGCTGCAAAGAAGTGGATACCCACCCCAACCTGTAGAAGTTTCATATGTCTGAATAGGAAACTTTGAGTACGGGAAAGACCACATTTGCTGGACACTTTTAGCCTTTAAACGAACCCCCCAAAAACCCAACAAACCCATGGAACAGGTACCGAACCGAGGGTAAAGCCGCAAAAACAACTCCGGATCACTTTGTTCATTGACTCCTCACCTTGTTTCTATCTTTTTGTATCGAGGCATCTTCCTGGCAAGCCTTTTGGCACTGCCCGGCGTGAATTCTGCGACTTCATTCAAAAACGGAAGGAGCTCTTTTGGCTTGATTCAGCACTTACTTGTATTGCATTACATTCCAATCACTTTGCATGGGCGAAAGATCATGAAAACCACGAAGCCTTCAAGACCGTTCTCCTCCACATTCACAAAACCAGTTACCAATCATGCCCGCCAATTGCCCCGTTTGATTTGACTCTCCTGAAGGAGGACCATGAAGCAATACCCACCATTCTCGCTGGCGACCTCAACTTCCCAGAAGAGGTGGTCCCAAGCAAGACCCGTGTCCTTGTGGCGCATAGACTTTGTTGATGGATGCGTTGACCTCATTGCCTTGATTGAAATACTGGCAGGCTATCCGCCCCCTACTGAACAAGCGCGATGGCAAGATGGAGAACGTGAAGTTTGTCCCAATCCCATATCCGACCAATATATGTCAGGTGCGCTTCCAGTATATGAACACAGTCCCTGCTGAAATGGTTGAAGCATCCAAGCTTTGTCGGGCCATTTTGTATGCTGCAAACCAGTGCTTTGTAGCATGTCAGGGATCTCTTCTTCCAAAGAGGATTGATTGCATTGCATTGCTGTCGGGCCACGAGATGGTGAAGGCAGGGGCTGAGATCAGCTATGTGTCATGCGAATCATCGCTGTCTCAAATGTGCTGTGTCCCTGCCGGACAGCTGTGATGCGGTCTGCGAACCAACATCATCGACGTCCCACCACAGACCACAGCCACAAATGTCAAGTTAGGGTTGAAGACCAGTCACAACATTGATTTGGGAGAGGCAAGTGGTTGATCAAACTGGAAGCATTGCCAAGTGGCTCAAGTTGCAACCAATCACAGCAGCTAAACCAAGCTAGAACTGCCACAACCGCCGCCACTACCTCCACCAAGATCGATACCGCGTCCGTACCACACCTTCGACTAGGAGCACTCAAAGTGATGATGCATTTTTTGTCCATCTCGTTTGTGCTTGCAGAACATATGTGCGATTTCATCCATAGCTGGTATAGTATAGCCACGGTTTGTCACGACCAGCGCCTCTTCTCACGCTGTCTTGCGGGTTGTGACCGCAATCTTGGCGCTGGTCCGTGCGGGTCAGGTGAAACCTTTGTCAGCAGAGAATGTCCTTCCTGGCCTGGCAGACATGGTGAAACTCTTGGAGTCCAGGTGTGGTGCTGCTCTTTGTGGTGCGTCTTCCGCAGCCACCAAGCCAGCGTGTATGGCAATACCATGCAATAACCTTGTGAAGACATGTGGTGACAAGGACATGTGGGACACACATCCTCCTTCTTTTGTATTGATGACCATCTCTTTGCAGCTTTAGTTGCCCTTTTGTTGGATTCTTTGGTTTTGAACTCCTTCCAGCCAGAGGAAACGATCATGGATCATCCTCTTTTCCCTCTATACTGAATACCCTATGATGTACCTATGCCGTTTAATTAGAGGCATTTTGTACATGTTCATTGCCTGAAGGTCTTGGGAGCTTGCAGAGGTGAAGATGGACATGAGAGAGCAAGCATATCAGGCCAGGTAGTCAGAGAACCATATCCACAACGGACGTTGCCTGCCTTTCGTATTCTGGAGATTTCCGCATGACAGCTAATTATGTCCTTTGTGTAATTTCCGGAAGCACCTGATGACCTGATGCCAGCAGAAACGCACAAAACAATATCGATGCCATATGAACACCTAACAGACCAATTCACCTCCGCAGAGACAACCTCTATATAGATTGTTGTCGAATCAGAGTCAACTCTAGAGCTGGCAAAGTTGGCTGAGGCGAGAATAAAACATCAATTGGCCGAACAGAGGAGAATGGATGAGGAAAAGAAGATGCGAAGAGCGGCGCTTGCATCTTTGACTGCAGAATCAGCTTAGGTGAAAAATCTCAGCTGAGAGACGGCCTGCACTTTGTTTTCCAGAGTCTCCAGCAGTGAGTAGTCGATGTCTAAGAGGAAACTTGAATGGGAAGGAGCTACACCGTGTTTGTGACTCTTGTTGCTGTAAGCAAAGCAAACAAGCTGAGGCGAGAGTAAAGAGAATGGAGGAGGAAGAGAAGAAGCGAAGAACCGAGTTTGCATCATAGACAGCATTCAGACAGCAAAATAATTAGCTTGGATTGGACCCATGTTCCCTCCAGGATAGAACTCAGATGTCAGATAAACTGTGGCATATGCCATGCCTGTGGCCTTTGTCCTTGTACCAACTGTAGGCAAGAGAGCAGAACGAGATGGAAGCGACAAAGGAGGAGCTCGAAGCCACCAAGAAGGCCCTGGAGGAAGAAAAGAGACTCAAGCAGGCGAGGTCTTGCGTTCGTACTGAATTGCTCTGGAATCTCTTGCCCATCGTGATTCCGATGACTGTTCACCAGTGCCGGCTGAAGGCACTTCGTACAAGTTCCAATCCCCCCGACGTATTATTGTAGACCAATGCCTCCCTGGATAGAAGTAAGTTGAAGCAAGAATAGCGAGATGAAATAACGATCAACAGGTAACTCTTGCTGGTTGCCGGTCGACTTTGTTTTGGTGCCTAACTAGAGCCTAGAGGCAAGAGAAAAGAAGACGGAAGCAATCGAAGAGGAGTTGGAATTGACACACAAGCAACTGGAAGAGACGAAGAAGGAGCTGGAGGAAAGGAGCCTGAAGCAGGCAAGGTCCCGCAATACGCGCGATTAATTGCTGAATTGCTTTGGAATCTCTTGTCCATTGTGAAAACCAAGTTGCATTCATGTCACGACGAGCTTTGTTTCATGGAAACCTGCGGTTGAGACATGTCGGACCCCGCCAACCTTCGGTTGGCTCAAGCCTTGCCTGTGAAAAGGCGCGTTCTTTGGCCGCTTAAGACCAGTTTCCACACTGGCAGCGGAGTCCCTTAGAGGGCATCCGGTTCCGTTTTTCGCTCCTCGCCATGTCGGCCTTGCTGGAGACGCTCCGTTACGATGGAGCACAAAGCACCACCCTGGCGGCGAGCCAGGACACCTTCGACTCTGAAGGCAAGTTCGGGATCCCTCGCTTCTCAGGCGAGCCAGCTCAGCTACCAGAGTACGCCTTTCGCGTCCAGATGAGGATGCTGCGCGAGAAAGGAATGGAAGAGAGCGAGCTGAAGAAAGTTGGCCCCCTGGGCATACGACTTGTTGAGGGACTTCGTGGACAAGCCCTCCGCCTTGCCCAGCAGCTGAAGCCTGAGGATCTAGCAAAGCAGGCAGTCAGGCCCTGAGACACTCCTGAAGCTGTTCAACGACACCCTGAAGCCAAGAGCGTCTCAAGAGGCACGAGAACTCTACAGTGCCGGGTCGAAAGAAGGCGGCATGCTCAGTCGCCAGTCTGGCGAATCTATGTCAAGCTACATCACCAGAAGAAGGTCCTGGTGGATTGCCTTAAAAGGCTTAGACAGTGCCGTCGCCATCCCGGACGTGATCCTCGCAGAGCAACGCCTGACGAATGCTCAAATCTCTGGAGATCAGAGATTGATGGGGCGAACAATGCTCCAAGGCACCCTGACCTTCGACACGGTTGCCTCCGAGTTGATAGCACAGCGCCCGAGGATCCATGAGTTCGAGAAGCAGCGTGGCCCAAAAGGCTATGGGAATCATTCACGCCCATGGTCACGACCTCAAGGACATCAACATCGCCACAACAAGCCCTTCCGGAGCTACTTGGCTGAAGATGCAGATGAATGGGAAGGTCAGGACCTCACTGGCTTTGATGAAGTTGAAGAGGATCAAACTGCCTACTTCCAGGACACCGAGACCGTTGTTGAGGAAGACGCTGAGGTCTACCTGGAAGAGCACATGTGCTTTCTCATCGAGAATGGCATGGACATTGACAACGAAGAAGCATGTGCCTTGGCAGCTGAAACCCTCCAGCTTGAGTATGAGGCCTACAATGTGAGGCAGCACGCCTCTGGAAAGGGTCATGGTGGCTTTCACCAAGCCCGTCAATTTGATGTTTCTGGACAGCTCTCCTTCCAGGAACGAAAGGCCTGTTTGATGCAGCTGAAGTCAAAGACCGAATGCCGTCGTTGCCATCAGAAAGGTCATTGGTCTGGTGATCCGCAATGTCCCAAAGGATCACGAAAAGGCAGCGGCAAGTTCTCTGGGAGGTCACCGAGCACTTCATCGACTTCACCGCCTTCTACCTCCAAGAGTGGAAAAGGCAAAAGCTCTGGGAAGCACAAACCCAGAGTGGTCTACTTCAGCATCAAAGAACATGAGGATGTCCCCGATCCAGGAACAGAGAAGGCATGGTGTGGTATGGCTCTCAAGGAAGACCCACGAGGCCGTGGAGTCTGCGTACCACCACCTTCAAGCTTGCAGAGTCCTGCGACTACCAGTCCGCCTACGGGACTTCGTGCTAAGGCAGCACCAACTCAGCCCGCGGTGCATGATGCTTTGGCATTGAGTTTGACCCGGGTGCCTCAACTTCCCTTTGGAGTTCCACGCAACGATTCAGCACAAGTTGAACTGCAAGATGCTGGCACCGAGGCCTTGGTTGAGAGGTCTTTGCAATTGGCTCCTTCAGAGCTTCGTGGCCGTCCGCTCACTCAAGATGAGATGGATGAACAAGCTCTACATGCGGCTTTGCACATGGTCGCAGACATGGAGGCCATGGAGGTGGAATCTGAAGGCTATGAGCCCAGCATCTATGATCCAAGTTTGATGTCTTTCGAACTTGTACCTCATGCACCTGGGCCCTCCTCTGGATATGGTCAGAGTGGCATTCCGCCAAAAGCACCAAGTGTTCCTCCGCTACCACAACGTCATCAAGGCCCTGAATGTGAACACAAGAAGACAACCAAAAAGGGCACAAACAAGTACTACACGATGGTGTCATGTGTGGACTGTGGTGCGATCTTGGAGAAGACCAGAAAGCCAGAGACTTCAACTCCGGCAAAGTCAGCACCACCACCTCTGCCAGCAACGGCAGAAAAAGAGCTATGTCCTCACCATCGCATTTCATGGAAGGTAACAAATGGCTTCCAGACGCGACAGACTTGTCTGGATTGCGGCTTTGTCAGGATTGGCCGCCCAAAGTCAGCACCAGCTCCTTCGAGATACTCATCCTCAGCAGAAGGAGACCTTCCTTTGAGTTTCACTCCTCAAATGGCCCAAGCAGTCTTCCGCATGAGAACCTTACAAGTGAAGATTTGTCTCGTCTTTTGCGAGGCGCCATGCTCTCCATCGTGAATTGGCCGCCAGAGGATAGTTTCACTGATTCCAATGCACAGGCAGCATTTTCTCCAGGTCCTCGACCCTCCTGCACTGGTACTCCACCAGCTTCTACTGCCGCTTCGCCTGTTCCAACACCAGATAGAGGCACGGTTCGAGACAGTCGCCATGTCAAGATCTTGAACTTCGGCCGCTACAAGGGCCAAAGCTATGAGAAGGCCTGCCAGGACGCCTCCTATGTCAACTGGGTGTTGGGAGAGTCATCTTCATGCACTTGGGTCGCTACTTTGAGGACCGGCGCATGGCAGAAAGAAGCAACACAGCCTTCATGGCAACCAAGACGATTGAGGTCTCAGACACTGAAGAGGACTTTCCTACTTCAGAGACGATCGCCTCCGAGACCGACCTCATCGCCATCTTGGACTCAGGCTGCATCAAAACATGTCATGGTGAACTTTGGCTCCGCAAGTACGCTGTAGCAGTTGGGCACTCCATTGATGAGTTTCCCATGAACCCTGAAACTGGTTCCTTTCGTGGCATTGGCGGCTCGGTCACCGTTCTCGGACTTCGAAGCTTGCAAGTGGGATTTGAGCTTGCTGACGGTGGCGTCGCCATTGGAGACATCGACTCCACAGAACTGCAGGGCAGCTCAGCACCTCTCTTGCTCAGCATTGGTGATCAACGCAAACTTGGCCTTTACATCGAGCTTGGCAACACTGAGTCTGTGTTCAGCCGAACCTTGAACTGCCAGCTCAAGATCGCCGAGATCAATGGACTCCTTGGACTTCGTCTACTACCTTCTCACATCGCAATGATGTCCCAGATCTCCGATGAAGAGAGCACAGAGGCATCTTCAGAGACTTTGCAGCTTCCGGCAACACCATCTTCAAGGGAGACTGAATTCAACTTCAGTTTGGACACCGCGGACACTATGGTCCTGTCTCCCAAGTCGGAATCTGAAGACAATGCAACCACCGACGGCGAGTCAGTGGAGTTCTCTGAGAGCTACATCGCCCTGGATGAGGAGACCAACAAAACCATGACCAAGCAGCAAAAGAAGCAACTTGAAAAGGGTCTTGCTGAAGTCAAAGCTCATGATCAGTGTCTTTGGAGCACTTTGAAGTCATCCAAAACTTCACGCCCACTGCCCAGAGGATGTCGCGCTTTCCTTCTGGAAATCTTCGCCGGAGCAGCTCTCTTGGCCAGCGTTGCAAGTGGCATGGGCTATCCAGTCAGCACTCCGGTGGACATCGTCCTTGACGAAACCAACATCTTGGACCCTCGAGTGCGCCAGAAGTTGGATGAAGAGATTGAGCGAGATGATCCTTACATCATCACCTTTGCACCGATCTGCGGACCATGGAGCAGCTGGCAACGTCTGAACTGCAGCAGAAGTCCGGAAACCGCAGCAAAAGTTCTTGAAGAACGTGATCTATGGTACCCAACTTTGAAGTGGGTGTGCAAGGTGATCAAAAGTCGACTACAAAAAGGTCGCAAAGTTTTGGTTGAGAATCCCTGGTTCTCCGAGCTGTGGTCCGTCCTATGCTTTGACAAGCTCATCCAGGAGTCGCTTGTGGATGCTGAAACTGGGAGCTACTTGGAGCTCATTCGAGGTGATCAATGTCAGTTTGGCCTAGCAGACCATGTCACAGGTTTTCCTCACCTCAAGCCCACAGGCTTCCTCACTGCCTCCGACACTGTGAAGCAAGAGCTTGCCAAGCGTTGTCCAGGAGATCATCTACACTCACCACTTGAAGGAGGACAACGGACCAAAAGAGCTCAAGTTTGGCCCAAAAGACTGTGTCAGGCCATCTTGAAGGGGTTCATCAATGAGCTTGAAGAAAGAAGCCTGCACGCAGCTTTTGCAGGTGAGTTCTCGGCAGAGATGGAGGATGAACTACTTCAACCTCTTGGCAACTTCGACGCCATCTATGATGACAAGGACCTCGCCAAGAGCACTGCCTTTGACCACAAAACCACTGAAGCAGAGCTTCAACGTCTGGAGTCACTTGAAGAACGACAAGATCTACCAGACTCCTCCGCCTTAGAGTCAACAAGGCGTGAAAAGTGGTTGAGAGCAAGTCGCTCCGTTCGTGTGGCCCTGAGAAGACTTCATACCATGTCAGGCCACTGCAGCAACTCCTCTCTGCTACAGATGTTGAGAACAGCAGGAGCATCAAGTTTCACTATGGAAGCAGCTAGGCATTTTGCCTGTGAGACCTGCCGGAAGACTCAACCTGTTCAGCCTTCGAACAAGGTCAAACCACCCAACAAGCCGACCTTCAACTTTGAGATCAGCTGCGACGCCTTTGAGATCAAGGATGCAGCCGGCAATCGCCACACAGTTCTCTCGGTGGTTGACTTGGGAACTTTGTACCACCAAGCTTTCTGGGTTGCTCCAGGTGGTGTTCCTCGCAGTCATGTCTGCGCACAAGCTCTACGTGAAGGCTGGATTCAATGGGCAGGACCTCCAAAGTCATGCCTCCTTGACCGTGGCGTGCACAACCGAGGACGCTTCGTTGAACTCCTCAACGCCTACGGCATTGAGATCCGCTTCGGTGGCCTTGAAGCTCCCTATCAATTGGGAAGAACTGAGCGACAAGGTGGAATCCTGAAAGACATCCTGAAGTCCGTCATTGAGGACAAACAGGTGATTGGCACTGAGGAGATCAAGATGGTGATCTCCGAGTCTGTGACCATCAAAAACAACCGCTTGCATCACCAAGGATTCACACCATCGCAATGGGTGCTTGGACGTCTGCCTCGTGAAGTTTGCTCACTCACAGCGGAAAATGATGATACTGAACATCTTGGAGTACATCAAGGCATTGATGATGCGCTGGATGAGTTCTCCTCCAAGCAACTCGAGATTAGACAGGCAGCAAAGCAGGCCTTTGTCCAAGCCGACTCTTCCAGAAGAATCAGAACAGCTTTGCTTCGCAAGTCAGTTCCACTACGTGGCCCCTATAAAGCTGGAGATTTGGTCAGTTTCCACCGCAAGGGCAAATGGTTTGGCCCAGGAGGAATACCGATCATCGTATCGGAAAGCCAGATCCGCCCTGCAACTCGATCCGAAGTACTCTCAAAGCAGCTTCTCGAACTACGACCATCTCGGAAGAGACGCAGGGAAGCCTTTGAAGAGCCTATGGATGACGCACCACCATTTTCTGAAGATCTTCAAGTACCAGCTCTTCAAGAGGCACAAGAAGACTTGCAACCTGGCTACATTGAACTGCCAGTTGAAGCAGGATCTGGATCTTCACCATCTCCGGTGCCAGAGGCAACCTCTCCGGAAGAGCCAGAGACTCCGTTCGATCTACCTCATGAACTTCCATCAGCACCAGAAGAAATGGCTCTTGATGATGAAGAAGAAGTACCAGTTCCTCCAGAGCCAGATCGGCAAGAATCAGGACAACCAGAGTTTGAAGCATCACACCCTATGACAGTGCCATCCCGCTCAGTGGATCAACTGGACGGCTATCCACGTCCAGAAGTTCGACCTCCACCAGGTCTACTACCTGTCCGGGGAAGATCACGATCGCCACTACGAGATCCGCCTGTTCCTCGTGATGAACGTGGCCTGATGGCCATTGCAGCTGAGGAGAAACGCTATCATGGCTTCTTGGCCAAGCGCTTCAAGAAGAAGAAACGTCAGGGGGGCGCTCACAGGGAGACCAACTTCAACACCTGTGACCCAAAGACCAGAGCTGGGCTCATTTTGAGCAGAAAGAAAGAGTGGCGCAACTGGATGGACTTCACTGCTGTCCATGTGATCAAGCCCAAAGATGTCAAGGGCTACTTGCTGAAGAACCCGCACGTGAAGATTGTGCCAACCCGTTGGGTCGACTCCGACAAAAGTGAAGTTGGAGAAGAGTCACAACTGAAGTCAAGACTCGTTGCTCGTGGTGACTTAGAATGGCACCCAACCAAGTTGAGAACGGACAGCCCAACGTGTTCACAGCTCATCGTGAACATGATCCTGGCGCATGCAGCTTCAATGAACCTCCGCGTCAATGCTGGTGACATCAGTGCAGCATTCCTTCAAGGTGTGAAGATCAACCGCACCCTGGTTCTCTCACTGCCGTCTGGAGGTGTTCCAGATGAAGATGTGCCAGAAGGATCACTACTTGTGGCCCAGGCCGAGAAATCCGTCTATGGCACGACCGACGCCTCAAGAGGATTCTGGAAGCGACTTCATGAAGTGCTTTTGCAATGCGGCTTAAAGCCAATTCCTGCAGAGGCTGCCGCCTACTACTTGCCAGGTCCCGAGAATGAGATCCAAGGTCTCTTGGGCACACACGTTGACGACATCTTATGGACTGGCAATGAACAAATGGACAATGTCATGAGTTCTGTCCAGCAGCATTTCCGCTTCGGCAAGATTGAGGGCAATGAGTTCAAGTTCTGCGGTCGTTTGATCAAGCAGCAGGAGGATGGCATTCACCTTTCAAGTCCAAATGTCATGGACCGAGTCAAACCGGTCTACATCCATCCTGATCGGCGAGCTCTTCGTGCCGAGCCAGCAGATGAAAAGGAGATCTCTCAGCTTCGCTCCGTGCATTTCATGGTTTGCCAGGACATGCCGTCCGGATCTCCCCTTTGCTGTCAACCAGCTCCAGTCAGTGCAAGCAACTGCACGAATCCAAGACCTCATCGAGGCCAACAAGCTGTTGAACTTTGCCGTCAAGACCAAGGAGAAAGGCATGGTCTTTAGCAAGAATGGCCCAAAGCTCCATGAGTGTATGATACTCTCAGTGACTGATGCCAGTCACGGGTCGAGCTTCGAAGATCTTGGAGGAGGAAGACTGGGTGGCAACAGATCCCAATCTGGGAGGATCCTTGCTCTAGCCCCGAAGGACTTCATGACCGAGGGCAAGGGCACTGTGGCTTTGCTCTCTTGGTGTTCAACCACCATCAAGAGAGTGTGCAGGAGCACCATGCAAGCTGAGACTCTCAGCCTCCAGCTGGGGTCAGAAGAAGCAGAGCATCTTCGCCAGATCTTCTGCGAGGTCAAGAACCTGACTGATGGCAGCCGTGGAAAAGAAAGATTTGTGAAGGCATGCGATGCCATGGCAATCGGATGGCTCACCGATTGCAAGAGCCTCTATGATCACCTCTTCATGCCCGGCATCAGTGAGGTGACGGACAAGCGCCTTGCCATTGACCTGACGGCTTTGCGTCAGGACGTTTGGCGAAAGCCAGGTGAAGAGACTGGAAACCCGAGCTTTGATGATGCTCCACCGGCTGATGGCACCACGAAAGTGGCATGGGTTGACGCCTCGACAATGGTGTCTGATGGCCTCACCAAGAAGATGAAGAGCCCGCAGCTGGATACGCTCACAAAGAGCGGTTGGCTTGAAGTTAGCTTCACGAAGCTTTCCGCTACGAGTTTCCATGAAAAGAAAAACAATGGGTGTGAAAACCAAGTTGCATTCATGTCATGACGAGCTTTGTTTCATGGAAATGCGGTTGAGACATGTCGGACCCCGCCAACCTTCGGTTGGCTCAAGCCTTGCCTGTGAAAAGGCGCGTTCTTTGGCCGCTTAAGACCAGTTTCCACACCATTGTAACCATGAAAGGGGAGATGGACTTTTTACTGTGAAGTACGCACTCTTGTGTATCTCGCTGCCAACTTCGAGGAATGCGCAATCCCAAACGCAGCCCAGTTGCCGTTGTCAAAGAAACCTAGGATTTCAGCGAAGCCCCATAGAAGCAAACTCACTGCTCCATGTAACATGTCCCTTGGCATGTGTGAGGCGGCATTTATCTTCTTGTGGAACATGTACCTTGTTTTCTTACTTTCCCGTGCGAGTTTGAGCTGCTTTTTTGTGCAAGACACAGGCAACAGAAAAGGAGGAGATCGAAGCATTGAAGAAGGAACTGGAGCAGGAAAGGAGCCTGAAGCAGGCACGGTCTTGCGTTTGTGACATAATTTTTCTACCAGCGGTTTGATGGATTCAAATTGCTGAATTGGATTGAAATCTCTTGTCCATTGTATAAAGGGGGGGTTGGGCAGTGTTGGAAATTGTACTGTGAAATGCACACTCTTGTGCACCTCCTTGTCGAGGAATGTGAAATCCCAAGCGCAGCCCATTTGTCATTGTCAAAGAAACCTGGGGTTTTAGTGAAACCCCGTAGAAGCAAACTCACTACTCCTTGGAACATTTCCCTTGGCATGTGTGAGGCGGCATCTATTTTCTTTTGGAACATGTACCTTGTTTTTCACTTTCCCGTGCAAGTTGGAGTTGCTGTCGTAGCAAATAGAGGCAAAAGAAAAGGAACTGGAAGCGATGGAGAAGAAGCTGGAGGAAGAAAGAAGACGGAATCAGGTGATTGGTGGTGGTAATTCTGCCTTTGCAATCGTCGAGAGTTTTGTTGTCAAAACCTGGAAGATCTGTCGCAAAGCCTGCAATTCTAGTGAAGCCCTAGAGAAGCGAACTCAACGGCCCTGCATGAGCGAGCGGAGGCTGCAAGCTCAGCGCGTACAGTGGATGCCACGTTCGAAGCAGCTTGGTCGCAGCCTAGACGTGTCAATTTTTGTTTTGATCTGCGTGATGAGCTGCAAGGGCCCTGAGAATCACCAAGGCCATGCCGCCATTGGGACACAAAACGAACCAGGCGTGGTTGAACCTTCGAACTGCCTCAGGGGTCGACTTGAAATGCGTGGCTTGGTAGCTTCCAATTTCGGAAGATGGGGTAATTTGCCGCCTTTCTGCAAATGCGATCCATCCATTGATGTTGTCCCTCCTCAAGCTATGAAGCAACAAGTTTTGAGGTGCTGAATGTTTCGGAAGCTCGGCTTGAAGAAGTCTTCCAGCACCTTCAGGACAGATCGGTAGTCTGGGGTGTCGTCATATTCCAGCTACTAGTGTGTGTGATTCCTTCACCCATGCTTAGTTAATCTTCCATACAGAAAAACATCGTTTACAAAACATTACAAAACATCAAACCAAGGCATCAAACCAAGCTCCAGAGAGAAAAAGGTCCTGCAGGTCCTTTTGGAGCTTGGAAGGGATATTATTGCTTTTGAGTATATACATAATACCAAAATCTTCTAGCCAGTTAACGTGTTTTCGCTTCCCGTAGATTCATCACTTTCTTGGCCAACAGCTTTGATGTCGGAGCTCGTTTCAGCTTTCGCGCCCGTTTTTCCGCCGCCGCAAGGAGCCGACGGAGGCCTCGGATGTGATGATGGCATCCAAGCTGAGCGAGGCGATGCAGCTTTGCCGCATGAACCCAGAGGAGTTTGAGGCGGGGAGGTTTGAGTCACAGGCTTCCGAACACAGTAAAACAGGCATCTAGTTTGTTTGTCACATCACAAACCTCACTATTTTAATGACCGATTAATGACACAGGTTTGAGTCACAGGCTTCTGAACAGACCAGCATCGACGCCAACTGTTTGCCGAATTCAAGCGATGACTCGTTCATGGAAACGTTGAGTATGTAGTCGTGGGCCAGTGGCCCAGAAGGAACCAACGGGGTGCTTTTCGTTGTTGTCTTCGCTGTACTTCAAGGCTGCTCCAAGCTGTTTCCAGATGGAACTTTGGAGGGTGAAGCTTGTTGCTGCAGTTGCTGCAGGTGACCGCGCTCCTCGACCGTTTGGGCAGACCAGATCACTTCAACCTGCAGACCTTCAAGCAGGTCATCAAGGAGAGACTCACCGTCCTGATGGATCACACACACATTCATTTGCATGTCAAAAGCATGTTACTGGTTATAGATCTTGCCTTGTGGTTAGATCTGCTTCCAGTGGACAGGAAACTCTCGCTGAGTGGTCTCAAAGAGATGAGGCATGGGGCGCATGGGTGGCTCTTCGAAGGTTTTGAACCCTTTTGATCCGTTTTTTTTCCGATGACCGATGAACGAAACCAACCAACACGACCTAAGAACACGGCCAACCAAACGGGCGAGGGGGGCATCCTGGCGACCCACGCAGTTGGCAAGTTCGTGTTCAGGTTGTCTTTGAAGAGTCGCATGTGCTGGTACCGTTTTGCATGATCCTGTGAAGCAGTTCAGACATGTTCAGGGAGACAATCCTTTCATCATGTTTCATCCCAATTTTGTCAAACGTTCTGCATTGCCTTCTGCGATATCTTGCAACAAATGCATCCTCCAAATACACGGCGCGTACTAAGCACAGCAGCCACCCCTTTTGAAGGTGCAAGAAGTGCTCAGCAGCTTCCAAGTGTTCGACCCTGAACGCACCGGTGTCTTGGCATGCTTTTCTTTGGCTTGTATAATGCTTTTGTTGCAGACATGTCTTGGTAGAAGATCTTCAAACTTTGAAAAGGCTTGGGGTGGCTACATGCAGTATAAAAGTGTATTTTGTTGAACATAGTGCACTTTGCTGAGGTTTCTTGTCTCGAGATACAATCCAGCATATCATGTGCCTCGGAGGTTTGGACCTCAAGTGACAGTTGCTTCTCACTTTTTCTTGCAGGGAAGGAGCTGCAATGAACTTTGAGCATGCTGCAGCTTTCTTGGAATTCCGAGTTAGCAATTGACTTTGAAGAGAATGTGAAGCAGGGAGAATTAGATAGACAGGAACAAGTGAGATATCTACTACTGCTGTCCTGGCATAAGCACACTCCAGATGAGCCCATGTGTTTGGAAGCTCCACTTGGTTTGCGGCGATGTGCGGGTGTTGTTCTCTTGGGGCTTTTGTGTTGAGAGATTCTTGATTGGTGTGTGTTGATGCTGTGGGGTTGTTCTCATTAGTGTTTTGTGTTAAAAGATATGTGTAATTTAACTCTATCGATTCTAGTGAGAGAAAGTTTGTCTCCTTGGAGTTAGCCTCCCAGCCTTTGACCCACCGTCGACGAAGGCAACGGAATCACGGAGGAGCAGTTGGAGGAGAATGTGTTGCACATTCTTTTTTCCAAGTCAGTCTACTGTACATCGTTGGATGCACGTGGCATGTCAAGGGAGAAGATTGATTGAAAAAGCTTGGATGCAATCATTTTTGCATAATATATGTGTAAAGGACATGCTCAAGGACGCGCCCTCAAACGGCTTCTCGGCAACATCGACCCTGAGTGAAGTCCAGCTGGAGCCATGCGCAGACCCACTTAAAACCAGTCTTTTTCTGGCGGGGGCAATTTTCAGCGAAGCTCAAAAAGCAAGGCGCCAAGCAATTGTGGTGTCGATTATGGCTACTTCCGCGTTGCTTTTTGTATTTTTTGTGACTTCTGCATCCTTTTGGTGTCACTTCTTTTCTCGTGAATTATCTTCTGCATCTTGCCGTGTCATGCTTTCCGGAGAGACGCGTCATGCTTTCTGGCGAGACGAACAGACACATTGTTTGGGTGGTCGGAAACTGAGGTGCGGGCTTTGATTATATTTATTTGGTGCACTACTTGCTCGGGCCGGAGGCCTGCCCCAGTGCGTTCAGTCATGACCTTGTCACCAGTCAGTGCGTTATTCAGTTCTCTTTAAGGCCCAGGTCCCAGGTGCTTGTGATGTTTGGTGTTTTGAGATGTTTTTCTTTTGGACCCCGAAACAGGTGAACAATCCTGGCAGAGCACCAGAAGAATCCTGAAGTCAATGAAGGTGGGACTTTGCTCTTGGTGTTCTTGACTGCGGTTGCCGAACATGACCACGCACTACACACTCTGGTCGCAGTCTACTTCGCAGGCTCCCCCCGATACGCAAAGATGTGAGCCTGAAACTCGTGGAGGGCGGCTGATCCGCCAGCATTGAAGTGCAGAAGAACATGGCTGTGGATGTTCATTCAAAAAGTACCTAATTTTCCCAGCAGAAAACTAGTTCCAGTGAAGCCTTCAAAGGTGGCGGGTCAGCCGCTTGATTCTGTCATCCAAGACGTCGGCGTTGGCAAAGCAACCGGTCATGGCAAAGCCAGATGGCCAAGCGCAAAGGAGGCAGTTGAGGTGAAAAGTGGAAGAGAATTTCCTTGATGAGTTCCGGATTCTCGTCACCTGTCACTTCGCAATTGGAGCGGCCAGAGAGGCTCAATATGACCATGACTGTCATGACCTTTGTTTGCCCAGTGTTTTTGGTCCAAGATCAACAGCCAGAGCCAGCCCTTTGAGTGAAGAAGCTTTTCTTTCGGTGCCCCCAAAAACCAGGTGAGACGACTGGAGCTATCACCGACATTCTGTCGGAGGAGAACCATTTGGGCAAAGTTCACGCAGAACTGCGCTCGAAAACGTCTTTGCTGCAACCGACTAGAGTTTCCACTGTGTTCCAGATATCCCACTGGAGAGTTCGAGAGTCAGCCCGAAAACCCCTTGAACGATTCGGACCTTAGGCATGCTCGATTTTGGGCCCCGTACCTCATCGTGTGCGCAGATGAACAGAATGGTCCACTAAGGGAGATTCACTTGCCGAGAGTGTTGACCCGCAACGCTCTTCAAGACTCGAATTGCGGTTTGATTTGCCGGGGGAGGAGGGAAACACCGGCTGACTGCTGCCTGTAGTGATTTGCTGGGAGGTTCAGATTTTTGGGGGGTGTCCCTACTACCTGTAACAGTTGTTAGAAGGCCTTTACTAACCATCATCCACTGTTACAGGGAATAGGATACACCCAACACATAACTTCTTTTTCAAATTGTTTTGTGGAACTTGTTACACAAGGGGAGCCGTCGTTGATCCAGACCAAGCGGCACTTTGTCACATGGCAAGGGTTCAAGCCAAGCGACGGCTGACCTGCTTGCCGCTCTGCGGCTTTGACCAAGAATATTATGTTTGGAATGGCAGTTGTCCTTAGTTTCTCAGTTTCTTGCAGTTGTCCTAAGTCTCTTGCATGTTTGTAATCGTGGCCGGAATTGAGACACGAGGCTACTTGTAAGCGTTTGCATGCAGTTCAGCCACATAGCCCACATGTCATGCAGTTTCGCAAAGAAGCTCTGTACAAAGAATTGCCATGTGGCCGAAGCCATCGTGTTGAATAACATGTTCACGTTCTCGCCGTGCCTTCTAGGGCTTCCAAGTGGAAAACACCTCATGAGTCCGGCAACAAATAAATAAGCCAGCAACGGTGGATGTTGCTTCAATTCTTGGCAGCTCCTACTATAAGAACTAGCCAAGTACTGAGTACAGTCTTTGCTTTGTAGGGATGTGCTTTTGAACACATTGTCTTGAAGTTCTCAGATGTGTTTTTTGTTTTTTTAAATCACTCCTTTGAACGCTTTACTGCTTGGCTGTCTCTGCCAACAATGATTCTTTCACAGAAGAGGACCGACATCGGTTTTGAGATTCTCGTGGATATGTGGCGACTGCTAAGAGGAATCTTAGGAACTCCCAATTGGCTTCCCGAATTTCTAAAACCACTCAAGTTTAGAGATTCTTTTGGATATTTGCATTGGACAAGGCATCAGATTTTGAGATTGGTTTTCAGGACCAATGGTTGACAGACGTTGGTTTGGAGATTCTTGTTCCAGTGATGACCTCCTGCAGCTGCTTCGCTAGGAACGGCTCAGCTCTCCAGGACGGCTTTTGGGTGCATTTGCCATTTCGACATCGTCGAGAAGACCTTTTTTGGCGGATCATTTGGGAGTCATTTGGCTTAGTTTGTGATCATTCATCATGTCTTTGATTAAAAACAAACAGACATATTTGTTTTTGATTAAGCTGGAATGAATACGAAGAAAGACATCATTCATGAGTGACCAGCTCCTGCCAGCTCCACCGTGTTCTCGTCCTTCGAACGACCGGTGAGTTCCGCTTTCACGCTTCCAGGAGAGCCCCGAGAAGCGCCCGCGACTGGAGATCGCTGCGACGCACGAGGCAGTGAAACCCCTTCCGGCCCGATGGATCCGTTGATGGATTCGTCTGCGTTGCACCGCCTCCGTCGACGTTGTTATTTTTTGTGAAAGAACTCGTTTTCCTACAGTTGTTTTTAGTGTTTTTTTCTGAATTGGGGGTTTGGAATCGAGTTCGGTTTGGTCAGATGAAAGGATCCAAAGAGGAGTGGAAGCGCACTTATTAGATTGATGTATATATCTAAATACACACATTGCATCCAAAATGACACATCCCCAAACACCAAACCATGCTGCATGGTGCATACTGATGAGCTCCGTGGCAAAGCAAGAAAAACCCATCGCGGTGGAAACAGTGTCTTCTCCAACCCTTCGGAGCTGAGCCTGTGATTTCTTACACTCCGAAGAAGGCGCATTCTTCCACCACAGTGCTGGCGCTACGCGAGACCGCACTGTGCGCAAGAGAATGAGAATGGGAAACAATCATGAAAGTGGAATGATGTTCGCATCTGCAGATTCATACGAGCCCTGCGGATTCACCGGGTGGGCAAGGTATCTTCATGGTCCAGGTTAGTCTGCAGGGGGAGGAGTACACTGAGTACACTGTACAGAGTACACCGTTGCCATGGAAGTGGAAGGATGTGAACACCTGTTGGGGGTCTTCGGACTGACTATAGGTCCTTCGAACTCGGGGCCATGCTAGACCTCCCATGCCATGCCATCCTTCCGAACCCACCATGATATAGGAACCCAAGTCGTAGGCTGAGTACTACATCGAGCAGCGCTTGGTTGGTTGGATCATTGGAAAAGGCCCGTCGAGATCTCGCGGGCGACATCGATCGGTTTCAGAGAGATGGAACGGGGCGGGCTGAATTTTTCACATGTTGCGTGGTGACAAGGTGGTGGGATTTCCGGATTTCCCTTTAGGTTTGTGGGCTTAAAACCACTGTTTTGCAGCCGGAAACATACGCAGTGGTGAGAAGAGCCCATGTTCAGGTTTTTACCTCATTAAGTGAGAACAAACAACAGTACAAACAAGAGAAACGGACAGACAGGTCAATTTCATCCACTTCATGCCTCTCCCACATGAGATTTTTGTTGGCCCTCAGTTGACTGATGAGAGATGCTGCCAGGTGGTTCCACACTGCGCGAAATTGAGCAGGCAAGGTGGTCTTTTGTTGATCCGACGCAACTTCGAACGCCCAAACTTCAGAGTGGATGAGTCAAAGCTCGCTTGGCCTCCCTTGCAGTCAGCTTGGGGTCTGGGTCTCCGGTGGGGTCTCCGGTGGGGTAGACCCGGTCTCGTTTTCTTTTGGTTTACCTGCCACATCCATCGTGGTCCAGCGTTCCTTTGGCTCCACCGCGCTCCACGTCCGTGGTGACGTCGGTCGGTCTCTGTCGACAGAGAGGCCCATGACGTCAAGGTGGTTGTGGACCAGAGCAGTCGCCCAACTCAATCGTTGAAGAGTGGATGCGGAGACTGGTGGCAGCAGTGGGACAGTCGACTGGGACTGATGGAATGACCAAGCAAAGCAGCAGGATCTTCCGAAATCGCTGACCTTCAGGGAACAAGCCAATTCAGGGTCCAAGGTGAGAATTCCACTTGTTCGAAGTTCACGGTCCTTTTTTTGTGGGGGAGGCTTGCTGGTCCTGGTGTTTTGGGCCATACCGGCCTTAGGACTCCCTGATCACTCCCTTATCAATCCCAACCGCAACCCCATGACTCTCAGCCCTGTCGCAGGCTCGTTGCTGATGGCCAGTCCGCTGATGCTCGTGACTCGCTCGTGACTCCCTCCGGCTCCCTCCGACCTGTCCGACGCCCTCCGACTCGCACGGAGGCAAGGGTTCCGGCTTCAGCAAAGTGCTGATCTCCGGGTCCAAGGCCAAAGTCCTGGAGGCCGAGCGGTCCAGTCGGTCCACTGTGGTCGTTCGGCCGAGTGGTCGTTCGGTCGAGTCGAAACGCCCAGATAGCGAACAAAAGAACATGCTGAAGAACACAGGAAGAAACCTTATGGTAAAGCCTTATATGGAAGCTGTCTAGTATGGAAGCGGTTTGGATTGAAGCAGCCTTTTTTTTGCCTCGCTCACAGAGTCCCAGCGAGTCCATTTCCAGACAGCTTGCACTTGCACGACTGTTGACGGTGATGGTTGGGTGGAGCTGTGACCCATCATCTCCCTCATCCCTCGCCGCATGCAGTGCAACTGCCACTGAATTGCTACACCAAGTCTTCCAGAGATCGACATGGAACCTGATGGCATGGACCTTTGGAAGACATGTTTCCTCTACAATAGACTCTACAACCCCAGTAGTTTGCAGGGCTCTTTTCCAGGGCTCTTTTCCAGGGCGTACGTTGTGGATCTAAAGGCCGACAATGACGCGCTCATGTTTTGCCTTGATCCTGTTCTACCCTGCTGATCCTCCTCTATCTTCTCCAGGATGTCCTTTTGTTTTGGTGGGGGCTTTTTGGAGAGCCTTTGTCGTCGGGTTGTGGGTCTTGTGTTATCAAGGTTCTGTAATCCATCTCAACAAAATGGGTGGCAGACGCGATTTTTTCCATCCCATGAGGCTGTGGAGCACATCAACAACTCATTGTCTGAGCCTCGTTGGGCAGGTTTGTGCCAATTCCTGCCCAGCTGTTAAATTCCGTCAAGAAACACGGCTTGGGACATGAAACGTTTCAATTGGTCCAATTCACACCACAAGAGCAGTCTAAAAGTATATATATATTGTTTGTCAATAGGGATGGGGTCCCAGTATAGTCGCTATACAGGTACATGCCATATACCATTTTGGCTCAAGTGCCCAACCAGGTAAAAAGGAGCTTTAGCGCGCGAGCTTCATGTTGACCTAAGAGCTAGAACGGGGCCAGGGCACACCTTTCCATCCGTTCGCAGGTTATCAGCCGTATCCAGACTCCTTTGAGCTGGGTGCGAGCTGCGGCCTTACACAACACCATCTAAACGCACACGCATCGGATAGATCAGTTACCCTCAGTCACTGAAGATGGACCAATCCGACGCCAGCACTGCATCTTTTGGAGCAGCTGCTGCGGCCGCAGATCGGATGAGTGCATCCCACAACTCTAGTCCAGGTACGATCGAAGCGGAGACTCTGACAGTGGTGAGAGAAGTTGCGACAGGTAGAGCACGAAGTCGTTCCCCGTCAGCGCACTCGACACCACCGTGGGGGACACCGAGATCAGGCCGTAGCCCTAGGGAGACGAGGAGGAGGACTGACACCGGAGCTGTGAGAGCGCTAGCATTGCAGGATGGGTCAGCTGTACCAGTGCCGTCGGACAGCGAAGCTGGAGATCGAGCAAGGGCAAGCACTGACAACCTACAACTAGCACGGGCCGATGGAGACCTGAATGCGAAATGTGCGCAACTACTTGCCGAAGTGCATATGTTGAACCATCAAAACGCATGGATGGTCGAATGTGAGCAGAGACAGAACCAGATTATACAGCACGAGACCGAAGTCCACGAAGTAGTGATGGCACACCTTGAAGAATGTTATGTCGAAGGATACGGAAATCAACGAAGAATCACCCAACTTACAGAATCCAGAGACTGTTTGCTCTCAGCAGCACACGACCTGCAATACCAGATGGACACTGATCGTGTGGCAATGCGGGATCGTCTCACCCAGTTAGGGGAGTACGCTGATCGCAACAGCGCAGAGATGGTTAGTCAAGTTGTGAACATCGGCACGGAAGAGATCCAGGCTATATCGGCAGAAAGAGATCGAGCCGTAACCGAGGTCATGACTACAATCGCAGATGCTGAGAACGTCAAGGATCTGTGTAGACAGGAGTTAGTTGGACTACAAAGGCAGAGTGCCAGAAACAAACACGAATATGCTGAAGAGATGAAGATGAGGGAAGCAATGTATGCAAGCAAGATCAAATGGTTATCAGAAGAGAATGAGGAGCTCAACAACCGATCTAATACTCAGGACAAGTTCATCTTGAGCATCAGAGAGCAATTGCAGAAGGCGAACGAGGAGTTGACTCAGACGAGGACTCAAGGATCCGATCGACCGTTTCAACCATCCAGCGCCGAACTCAAGAAGGCCGAAGTCAAGGTGAACATGTTGGAAGAGGACATTCTACGTAAAGAGAGGATGCTGAAACGTCTTCAGGAAGAATTGATCGAATCAAGCGCAAGTGAAGCACAATTGAAGGTCGCACTGAAGTTGAAACCACCAGACATGGGATCAGAACCCAGTGTGGAGAATGAGATGATGACCAAGCTTAGAGCGGAACTTGAACGTACTGAAAAGTTATTAAGGTCCGAGGAGAAAGAGGCAATTGAGTACTACGAAGGTATGATGCAGAACCAACAGGACATGATGGAATTCGAAGCGCATGCATCACGGCTCAGAGATGAGAGGAATAAGTACCGAAAGAGGTACGAAGAGGAGCGCACAAGTGCAGAGAATGCAGCCGCAACCGAACATGGTGCCGCTTCATCCTCTAGTTCAGGTGGCTCCAAGATATCTCGGAAGGAACACGAGAAGATCAACATCCCTGCATGGCCCAAGATACACGACTTGGAGGTTTGGAAATCCCAGGTTGTAGCGGCAGTCGTGACGGCATCGGGCGATGAGAAACAAGAAGACTGGATCCAATGGCTCTCGGATGCCTTCAGATCACCATATGACCCATTTCTACTCGAGACATCAGGCGAAGCAAGATTCGCTAGCATAGACGCTAAGCTAGGTATCACCCTACACACGATCATCCACGCAGCAGGTGAGAGATCTCATGACGTACAACTGAAGGTGAGGCAGATGATGCAGAGACGTGCGAGAGGCACAACTCCTGGAATGGTCAAGGGACGAGAAATGTTAGCGTTGATCGTCGATAGTTTCCGGAGTGCCGACAACGTTGATGTGATGTATGCATCCAAGCACTTATTCGATCTAAAGTTCCCTGGGGATAATCAACTATCTAGATTCCTTGGACAGTGGGATGAGATCATATCAGGTATGGATGCGGATGACATGCTTCCTGACAAAGCACTTCGCAACCTGCTTTGGGATAAGATTAAGGATTCCAAAGTTATGGCGTTAGACTTGTCTGTGTACGACAACATGTTGGATAAGGATCCGGATAAGACCTACCAGAAGTTACGAGAGATCATGACGAAGTGGATACGGAAATCAATTGAGACCACAAACAAGAAAGAAAGGGAAAGAGCTTTTGGGAACATCGTGAAAGCCACACCAGCGGCGGAGAAGAAGGACCCTAAAGCGAAACCCAAGAATACCAAGGCCGATCCACCGAAACATGACGCCGCTCCAGTACTTCCTCAGGCTAATCCGAAGGACCACAACAAGAAGGACAAGAAGCAGGATCGTGGAAGATCAGCCACGAAGAGCCCAAAAGGGGATCGTGGCAGGTCAGCGACTCCAGCAGATACGTCCAAGATAGGATGCGCTTTCCACTTCCATGGGAAAAACGGATGTTCTAGAGGAGATAAATGCAAGTTTAGTCACCAAGAGAAGCACAAGAGTTCTGCCAAGAAACCAGAAAGCCTCAAGGGTGACAGATCAAAGAGTCCTGGTGGCAGGAGCAGTAGCCCTAAGCCAATGAAGGATCAGGTCTGTTGGAATTGGCAGAAAGGATCGTGCAAGTTCGGGGACAAATGTCGACGTCAGCATCACGCTGCTCCTGCTACAAAACAAGAGGCTAAAGGCAAAGCCAAGCCCAAACCGGCTGCGCCAGCCTTCATGCTTTGCGGAGACATCGAGAGTGATGACGAGGACGTACAACCCGCACTTCCCAACGTACAACAAGGTGAGCTGGCGCTTCGCTTTAAAGTCAGATTCGATGACCAGGCGAATGTGACCACGTTCACCTGCGATCCTGGTAACGAGCTAAACATCCGTCCCCTCAGGAAGAAGAAGAATGAGGTGCAGAAGGTGGATACCGAGCTCATTTCGTCGTTGAGAGCCCTCAGAGTGAGCAATATAGCTGCACGAGTAGCACATGCCAAAGGTAAGATGATGGAGCTATTCTATGCTGAACACATTGCCAAGGCATGGATACAAATCACTCAAGATGAAGGAATCGAGGTGAACGTCGACCTGTCTGATTTCAACACCAGAGAGGTAGTAAGGAAGGATTCTGTCAACTACACGATACCAGGAGACACGATGTTCATGGCTGTGGAGAGGTATGATGGACCACCAATACGCTTCATCATGGACACGGGATGCGGACACGATTTGATCTCAAGAGAGAAAGTCAATGCCATGGGCCTTACCACCAAGGAAGGACCCAAATCCGTGAGCTTCATGACAGCGAATGGTGTAACTAGTACATCAGAGATGGTGGACATCAATGTGGACGAACTACCCATGAGGTCCGAGGCACACGTGTTGGAGAGCACACCATCAGTCTTTTCCATCGGGAAACGGTGCATGGAACAAGGGTACTCATTCATATGGCCGGCAAATCAATTGCCATACCTCATCGACCAGAACGCGAACAAGATTCCGCTATCGGTGCATGACAACATACCCTACATCAAGGTGAATGATGATGACGGGAGATGTTTACCAAGATCAGACGGCTTGGCTACGATACTTCATCGCATACTGTCAGGTGTGGGGCATGAAGACGAGGTCACAGCAGGTCAGGAGACACAACAAGAGGAACTTCCGCCCAAGAAACCACGGAGACGGAGGAGAAAGAAGAAAGATAACCAGAGAGGTCAGGATGGTGAATCTGATATCAATCCAGCTGTTGCAGGCGTCGAAGGAGAACCAGAGGAACACGGTGATGACGGGTATTCTCCTGAAGAGGAATATGACGGGGAAGACCCGAGATTCGATCGTGATCACGAAGGTCAACCTGAAGAAGCCGGAGGCGACGAACATGGAGGTGATGCGGGTTCTGAACGAGAGGAGAGTGACATTGATGAAGATGAAGAGGGACTATTGGAAGTCGATGTGGTTGACGGGGAAGCTAGACTATCAAAACCAGGAGTGTTGAAGAACGAGGCGAAATCCATATCGCACTTGATGACGCACCGATACAAGAACCCATACTGCAAGTCATGTGTGAGAGCAAAGATGAAGCACTACAAGACTAGCAAGGGAGCTTTCAAACGGAAATTGAAGGCATTCGGTGACCTTATCACTTTCGATCTCATGAACACTCAGAAGATGGCGAGAGATGGGATCATGCCGGATAAGGACATATTGGTGATTCGAGATCGGTTCACTGGTGTGATATGGGGCTATCCATTGAAAGCAAGCAATAGTGACGAAGTGGTGCAGGCAATGAAGCACTATATCGGTAAGAGAAAGGTCACCAACGCTTACTCGGATGATGCGCCACAATTCGAATCAGCACTCAAGGAACTCCGGATTCCACTAGACCAGTCGCTTCCAGGACATCCCCAGAACAATTCACTCGCCGAAAGAAACAATCAGTTCATGATGCTTACCACATCGACATGCCTACTAGAAGCCGGACTACCACCATGTTTTTGGCCATTTGCAGTGGAATGCGTAAGCCATTTATTGAACATCGAGAAGCTGAGCGATGGCAGCAGTGCATGGTTGAAGTTGCACAAGAGCG